AAAAAGACCTTCCAGCCATGTACTATGCTGCTTGGGAAGGGCATCTGGCCTGTATGAAGCTCCTGACACCTTTCAACACGCGGCCGCGAGCAAGTCCTTTCATGGTGCAACCTGCTTTAGGTCCTCTGGAAACAAGCAGCGCCCCCTTGCCCATGTCCTTGGACCCTGATGCAATCCCCGAACTTGAACTTCCTCCTCCGATTATCCCCCTCAGGAGATATGGCCACAACTTCCTCGACACCAAGACGGTCGTCCAGATCTCGTTTGGAGACCTGGACGAACAACCCCTTTTGTTCTTCCAGGACGGCAAGTATCCTGCTGCTCGACTTACTATTTCCTCCAAGGTCTCGGATCTCATTCCCAAGAATATTATTCTACCCTTTCAAGAAGATACCCGCATTGTTTCTTTCCAGGTGGACAACCTGGATTCTTTCAGTCTGGACATCGACGTCTTCCCTACCTACGGTGCTAAGGTCATCGCGAAGACGGTTGCACTATCCAGCATTTTCAAAGGCTTGCAGGGCACTTCAACGTGCTGCCTGCCTCTTTTCGACCCTAGGCTACGTGCTATTGGTCAGATCTGCTTCAACGTTCAGGTCATCAAGCCGTTTCAAGGAAAGCCCCTGGAGATCACCGACTTCGAGACGTATTGGAAGGCTACGAGCCAATTCAATCAACCAACAAGCGCCATTGTAACAGGATCGAGTCTATCCGGCGACTATGTGAGAATCTTTGTCCAGTACACCAGTGATGGTGTCCCGGTGCTCTGGCCTAGATGGACCATAGCTTGTGGCGGACTTGATATTCCTGTCTGCCGGTTGACCCTGGAGCAATTCACGTCTATGACAGCGCGAAGCAACAGCCGTGCAGACCTACCAAGCTTGGCGAGCAAGACATCAGAAAGCATTGCGGAGGTTTACCACATTCTTGCTACGGCTGGTATCACCCTTCAGGAGGCACTTACACTACTGAACCCTGGGATGCACATCAACCTTCAGGTCTTGTACCCGACAACAGAGGAGGAAAAGGCTTTCTCCATGGGCCCTGCATTGGATGTCAACGTGTTTGTGGACTCGATTCTCAACATAGTGTTTGACCATGCCAGGGCACAACGTGCTCAGGCCCCCGATGTGGTGCGGTCTATCGTGTTCAGCAGCTACAACCCTCGACTATGCACAGCACTGAACTGGAAACAACCAAATTTCCCCGTCTTCCTGTGTAATGACCTGGGACGGGAAGAAACGACGGGAGCCAACGGCACAGCCATCAGCAGTGGTCGGCGAAGCGCATCTATCAAGGAGGTTGTGAGAATTGCACAGAGCAATAACTTTATGGGTTTGATCTGTTATTCTCGACTGTTGGTATGTTGGAAACTTGTGCCTTTGAAACTGAATGGCAGCTAACTTGTAGTAGGACATGGTGCCGGCGCTTGTAGATGCCATCAAGTCTCATGGACTAGCGCTGGTGATGGACAAGTCTTCAGACTCCCCCGACGCGAGCCCCATGACGGACCCTTTCCCGCGGCCACCTAAGGGCGTCGATGGCGTTTTGAAAAGCCATGGGATTTTGCGATTCAACGATTCGATAGATATGTAGTAGATGGGTCATAATGAGACATGCCTACACGATAAACCTTAGGATGAGAGAGGATAGAAGGGAGCAACATGAAAGAAATGCATTTGATAGAATCATTAGAGGCGTTGCGTGAGGTGTTGCTGGGTAGCCAAACTCGCGCAGCTATTAATCAGTTCCTGCAGCTATTCCAACTTGTGACCAGGGTCCGCATAAAGGACAAATTATCAAGCTCCCTTGTACTCATACTTGAGCGCCGACAGTTCCTTTTCAGGGTCGACACCGCCCATGACTATCTTTGCCAGCAAAACTACACCATAGACCACAAGCGGCAGGTAGCCCATTCCGGGCCACACAGCCTCACTTTTTACTCTGCCTACGGCCCAGGCCATCAAAATCAAAATGAAACCCAGGCCAAGGTTCAGGTAGGGCAGATACATCTCGAGAGGGGATTTTCTCTCGACGTAGCTGAAAGAACTCCTCCTCTGTCGAGGTCTCCCCCTGGGGATGTACTCGACTTCATCATCCTCATCATCTTCATCGTCTGCTATTCCCGATGACTCGCCACGTGTTGACAAGGATGGTGGACGGGTGGGACGCGGGGTCTTGGGACGCGCCCACTTGTCGAGAAAGGCGATCCCCGACGACGCTGGCGGCTGGTGATGTAGGAGGTATGCCGTCGAGAAGAGCGATGTGAGGCTGAGAAGAGCGAGGAGCACCGTCCGCGGGTTGATGAGGGCCGGGAGGTAGGGTATGGTGGCTAGTAGAGGTAGAGCGAGGAGGAGACGACGGAACTGGGCGTTTCGGGCGGCGTTTTCTTCTACAAGACGTTCGATAAGGTCTTCCTGCTCTGATAACGCTGTTAGTTACTGTCGTAATGTGGTGGGAGGGGTGGTATACCTTGCTCGTCGAGAGCTTCAGGTTGCGAGTCGTTGGAGTCTTCTTCTGGATAGTGGAATGTACGCCTCAGACGGGCGGTTGTGCCCCCCGAATTAGACATGATGGTGTCTTTGTGACTTTAAGATGTCAATTCTCCATCGAGATGAGAAAGAGAGGAACAGAGGACGATGATGGTCAAGGTACGTAGTGGATGTAACAAAGCTGTCGTCACATGCGCAGGGGTTCACGAGGTCAGAGTCGCTGAGGCTCAGCCTTATGACGCCACACGAGGCGACGCAACGGCGGCTCCTCTGTCTTCTCCCCCACCATCGGCATCCGGCAGTAAAATTTCCCCGAACCCCAAATGTGAGCCTGGCCCTCACCTGATGTATATACAACCTCCATCACCAACAAACCACAGCCAACAATGTCGCAGCAAATATTGCTTACCCGGCTCGTCCGGCGTAGGCTCGTCGCGGCCCTCGAGGCTAGGCCCTCGGCTTTGAGGCCTGCCCAGAGGAGGTGGATGACGAGGGCGCCTAAGCCTGGTGATGGGCCGTTGATGTCGAGACGGGCGGATCGAGAGCTTCCAGGTACGACGACGACTCTTTCCGCACTCGGATGAGGCCAATGCGGACAAGGCGACATCTAGCTGACGTTTACACTCTGCAGACATCACAGAAGTGAGCTTCCGCTGGCGCCGCACGCTCCCCATCTTCGTGGCCATCGTGGCCACCTGCTCCGTCGCCATCTTCAACTACCAAAAGATGTCGTCGCCCGTGGTATCTTCGACGCTTTACGCCCTGCGCACATCACCCGAGGCCCGCGCCCTGCTGGGCGACGAGGTCTACTTCAAGCACCAGATCCCCTGGATCCACGGCGAGATGAACCAGCTGCACGGCCGCATCGACATTTGGTTCTCGGTCCGCGGCACAAAGGGCGTCGGCGTCATGCGCTTCGCGAGCAACAGGCCTACCAGCAAGGGCTTCTTCAACACCACCGAGTGGAGCCTCACCATGGAGGATGGCACAAGGCTTGATCTGCTGGATATTGGTGATCCTTTCAAGGGGTTGTTGGGTGGTGCTGCTGCTGCTGCTGAAGAATTACCGGCTTTGGACGAGGATGCTCCCACGAGAGGCTTCCGCAAGCAGGTCGAGTACAAGTGAGGAATGACAGGAGGAGAAGACGACGTGGATGTGAAAAAACATGATAACCCTCGGACTCCGGTTGTAGTTGAATCTGTACAGTAGTGGTAGATGGTGTGTGTGTATAATACAAAAAGCCCGCTATGATCGATCTCCTTTTTGCCGCCATGAGGTTCCCCTTCATACATAATCCATCATACATGACATTAGGCCTCGAGCTGCGCCGCCTCTCTCTGCTCCTTGAGCACTAGATGCTTCTCCCTCGCGGCCTGGAGCTTCTCCTCGTGATCCGGGTTCCTTTCTAGCAGAGTCTCGAGGGCGGCCTCACGATGAGGCTGCGGGGGAGCCTTGCGCTTCTTGGAGTCCTGAAGACGGACGACACGGCCCTTGGGGCCAGCGATGGGCCCGCTGACCAGCACGACGCCCAGCTCGTTGTCCACCATCATGACCTTGAGGTTCTGCACCGTGACGAACTCGTTGCCCATGCGACCGGGCATCTTCTTTCCGGGGAGGACTCTGCTACCGCCGCCCTGCGAGGGACCCGTGGTACCGATGGTTCGGTGGTTCTTGGAGTTTCCGTGCGACGCCTCTTGACCCGAGAAGCCGTGGCGCTTCATACCACCGGCGAAACCCATACCCCTCGAGCGGGACTTGACGTCGACGTACTGGCCCTTCTTGAACCAGTCGGGGAGAATCTGGACACCAACGGGTAGTAGGCCAGACTGATCGCGGACCATGAACTCTGCGAGGTCGGCCTTGGGGGCGATACCCTTAGCCTCGTAGTATCCCAGCATAGGACTGGTGACATTGCGACCATCTCGAGATCCAGAACCAATCTGCACAGCCCAGTAACCATTCTTCTCACGGGTCTTGTTGGCGATGACCTGCACTTGATCAAGCTGCAGAACAGTACACGGCACGCGGACCTTTCCAACAAAGACGCTCGTCATGCCCTTCTTGATAGCCAGCACACCGGTGCGGAGAGGCGTCGTGTTCTCTCGACGCTTGAGAGCAGCAGCAGGACCGGTGGTGAGAGCGGGGAGACCGGCCGAGGGCTGGTTGAATCGCTTGTGCTTGTTGCGAGGGGGAGCCGTGGACCATCCGTTCTTGACGCCGCGGGTCGCCGTGAGGGGGAGGAGGAGAGGGCGGGTCGCCGCCGCGGCGCAGGGCCGGGGGAGGGCGAGCCGGATCGGTAGACGGGGAGGCATGGATGTGGGAGATCAATTGAGCCGTCCAGAGGTGGGAATTGGCGGTGGTGTTCTGGACGTTGGTCGTTGGTGGTGAAAGTTTTTGGGAGGTTGAGATGGAGCTTTTGCAAAGCCGGAGAATTCCCGGCTAGAGTGCTGAGATGGGCAACACCATGGGACGAGTGAGAAAAGAAGATAGCATTTGATGAAATGGTTTCTTTTGATGAAACTTATATTTTCTCTTTATTTTAATTCATTCTTCTGCTGGGATAGTCTTGATCTACTCGATCCCATTGACTGCTTCATCTACGCCCCAGGTCCCCTCCCCCCAATCCCACTCCCCATCTGATTCACACTCGTCCCCTTGATCTTGTGATCCCCAGGCTGCGCCGCAGCCTCATAGATAATATTAGCAGGCGCTCGGCCAAGCTGCGTCCACTCGCCCTTGAACCCAATGTACGAAACCCTCGTGACGTCCTCGTCTCCGTCGCCAAAGTTGTCCGGGAAGAAGAGGACAAGCCGCTGGACCTTGCCGAAGAGCGCCCTACGGACGGGGACTTCCTGGAGTTCACCCGTCTGGGAGAGTTCGAGGGTTTGTACGGGGTCGAGCTCTTCGGCGGCGGCAAAGTCGATGTCGTCGCGGTTGATGAAGAGGTGAAGGGTTTTTGGGGCTGATGCGGAGGGGGAAGTGCGGATGAGAATAGAGTGAAGCTTGATTTGAGAAGTGAATCTGAAATCTATCAGTACATGTGTCAATATTATAGTGATTGTAAGAAACTCACGGCACCGTCATGAGGAGCTGCTCATCCACATCACTCGCCAGCTCAGGCTCCACGCTGAGCCTCTCCTGCCACGTCTTCTTGACGACAGCCTGCCCAACATCCCGCTGAGCCTCGTTGAGCGTCACAATGTGGTCAAAGTTGATTTGGCTGTACAGAGAGTGCTGCACGGCGGGAGTGATGTCGTCCGAGTGGTCGTGCTCATGGTCATGGTCGTGACCGCCGTGACCGACGTGCTCGTCGTGGCAGTGAGACATTTTTATGAGGTTGCTGTTTTCGATAGTGAAATGCGACTCTGGAGATATCCTTTTTATGGACTTTGCGGGAAGCAAATGATGGATGAGGAGAGTCGAGGTTGATGTTGGTTGTAAGTCAGGTACATATGGAGCTGGAATCCTCAAATGACGTTTTTAGCAGACTGCCGTATGTAAGCGCCCGATATTCACAATGAATGAATACGCTGCAAACTTGGCATCAACAACACAATGTGGCAAATTCCTGACATTCCAGATACAAGCAATATTTTCATCTTCACATTAAGCATCTCATATGACCATGTCCCATCAAATCCTTTCCTGGGTATAAATCCAATATCGCTTCATCTAAATCCACTCTTCCTCTTGCCCTTCTTCACCTTCTTCCTATCTCCAAACACGCCCGACACAGGCTGGCTCATGGTAAACGCAGGTCCCAGGAGGCCTTGACTCTGTGAAGATTCAGGAACCCGCTGCTGGCTCGACATGATCTGTACTGGCTGTGCTGGTAGGGCTGGGAGCGATGTACCCTCATCTGCTGGCGGGCGGACCTGCGATGAGCCCTGTGTTGCCCTTTGGGAACTTCCGCCCTGTCTCATAAATGCTGGTAGTTTGTACTTTTCAGCATGAGCCTTGCGTTTGGTCTCTATCCTCTGCAATCGCTGTCTTGCATCATCAAACTTCTTGTCGCTTGCAACAGCAACGCTGGAAACATAGTCTTCTGTACCAACACCGCGCTCGGTGGGCCAGTAAGACAGGACGCTTGATTTCTTGGCAGACGCCATCTTGTCCAGCCGCAATGATGGCGCAAGTAGCTGTAGTCGTCGGATCGCTGCGTCGTTGGTGTCATTTGGCGTTGAGCTGATGGGGGATGAAGGAATTCCGGCATCCGACGACTGCGATGCCTTGATAGGTATCGAGCTTGACCGTATTTGCGTGTGATGAACCCCGCCCTCGTCAATCTCACGACTTCTAGAGCCTAGGAGGGGAGTATCCTGGACCATGACACCAGCTGTGGACAGGAACATGTCCTTGGCCAGGTCTGCGATCCAGCCCCGCCTGGTCTCTTCATCCTCGTTTGGCAACCTGCCCTCCAGCTGATCAAGCCAGAGGCCCACGTAGGTCTGGTTGAGATGCGACAAGCTGATCAATTCCCTGACCCATTCTTTCGAGGTCTGTCTTCCGAGTTGAGTAACGACAGCCTGACCGTCATCTTCTAGGAACAAGTCTAACATGTTGATCTGTGCCGCACCGTCGTCGTCGCTTTCTGAAGGCAGCTGATCAAGGCCCTGGCCAATTTCTTTCCTGCGGGCAAGTTAGTTACGTTTTTTTCGACCTAAAAAGAGAACATACCAAGTCCTGAGTGAAAGTCTCCCTTCAGCTGTGCCCTCTGCGATGTGTTCCTGAATAGCGGAGAGCAAGGCAGGGGGTATATCATGAGGACTCGTGGAAACAGTCATCAGGTTATCCAGAAGGGCTCGGCAGAGAAAGTCAAGCTTCAGATGAACTGGTCCAAAAACCGAAGACTCTCTCATGTTTATGGAATCAAGTTCGCTTCTGCGGGAATGAGGTTGCACGAGCTGCGCCAGCTCAGTGTCAGCCAGGCTGTCAGGAAGCACAAACACCTCGCCCATATGTCGAAGAAATCGGTTTCGTTTCTTCTTCCATCGCTTCGCTTGAGCCGTCTTGGACCGTTTTATCCGACCGGTTGGCAGAACGATCTGCATTTCACGGTCCTTGGCTGAAGCGCAGATACAATAGCGCACCCCGAGATCCTTATTCAGAATGGTTCCTTGGTAGAACTGAACACCAGCGTTGAGATACTCGAATCCAGTTCCAGTTGTAGATGCTCCGTTTCGCGCGAGCTTGGCAGGGCGAATCTCGAGGGACTGGATATCACTCTTCGCAGCCGTGTTCTCATGAGGCAGAGTCAAGACCTGGCGATGCCATTGTGGAAGCTCTTTGTCCTTTGAATGCCCAAACCAGTACGTGTGAAGCTGTCTATGGGAAGGAGAAAAGGTAAACACCATAGCGGAATCTTGATTCTCGTCCGAGGCTCGGCACGTGGTTATCCTAAGTCCTTCTCCGCCGAGTAGATGGGGACAAGTGGCTAGGATGGTTGGCTTTGACGACTCTTCCTCTTCCCTGTTGGGCGCGAACAAGTCGATCCAGAACAAGTTTTGCATCGTCAATACGAAAATGTGGTTCTGGTTGCCAGGGCTGATGCGAATATCAAGAATTGAATCAGGCTTTCCTTTCAGCGGAGTCAGGATCGGTAGGTGAGGAAGAGCCATATTTGACTCCAGGTCAATCACTTCATATTTCTCTCGATTCCAGAGCAGCAGATGACTTGACCGGCTGGCAAATCCGTTGGCATCTTCATCATCATCTTGTGTTGCGTCCTCCCAAAAGCTGTCTACCTTGGCGGTACCAACAAACAAGAGACCATGCTTCTCAGCCGAGGACTCTGTCGTTGAGGGCAACTCATTCAGTAGTCCTTCTGAAATGTGACCGCATTTCTGCAGTGAAAGTCGCGTGTTTTTGTTTCCGATAACATCCCACACACTCCAGTATCCACATTCATCAATGATGGCCATCTGGGGATGCTGGCCTTTTGAGTTGGGGTTGAAGGCGACATCCACCTGCGCGTTGCTGCCAGTCTTCTTATGAGACAGCGTCACGATAGGATTTGGGTCAATCCGTGATAATCGTTGTTGCTGGGCATCGAGGTCTGCGGTGGGTGGCTGAGCAACTGGGACTTTGTGATACTCTGGTTGAAGGATCGTAGTTGATGTCTGCTTCTGAACGATGACCCAGCGTACAGCATCGTATCGGGTGAGGCTGGTTGCAAACTTGACTTGCGAGATTGGCAGACCATCACTAGCCCATATCGCCTCTTCATCCGGGTCCTCAGGGTCGATAACGGACAAATGCAAGGCCGTGTCCTTGTTATGGTCCCATTGCCATTTCGACTCATCGATACGTGCTAGCCTGAGAAGTTCACCAGACTCTCCGGTGACTGCAGCTAGCATTAGGGCTCCCTTGACTCTTGAACTATCGGCGACATTTGTCATCTGGCCGATAGAAAGCAAAGGGCGGTCGGCTGCTTCGCCTTCGACTTTAGAATAGCGATTCATATTCTCTTCCAAGAGCTCCTGCAGGGCTGAGTTGCCCACGAAGGCCTCAGGATGCGACTGGAGAAGCCATCGTCTCTGGGTCCGGCGTTCCTGCCAGAGATTCGACGAGACTTCGGGAGCTGACGACTTTGATGGCGGATATAACTCCGCTGAAGATCCAATGACTCTGAAGTGTGGTGCTGAGGGTATGTGGTCAGCATCGCATGAGGCGCAAAGTAGGGTGAAAACTCACCTTCAGAAGTTACGCGGCTAGTATGAAGAGAACCGAGTTGAGACGTCGCATTCTCAGAAGAAATATAAGTCAGACGTCCTACGTGACCGTGGATTAGGTCCGTGAGTCGCCTGGCCTCAGCCATTTGGCCCTAGTATCGATGTCCAATGTAATAAGAGTTTGGCCGATATTCCTTTCTTCATCGCGAGATGAGCTAGCGCAGGTGCAAGAAGAGAGTCTCGAGCGGGAGCATGGGAAGATGATAGTGAGAGACTTAGGCCGGCATCCTAAGCGAGCTGGACGAATGCGGTGACGGTGTAAAGGTGGTAACTATGCAGGCTACGACGAATGAGCGTTATCCAAGAGTTGGACAAGGAAAGTTGCTGTACTTTGCACGTTGCGACGTGAATTGAAGCTTTCAGGCCCCACGTGGCGGTGCGAACGCATGCGCCACACCTATCTCGGGTCGACCGAGCAACGCAGTCATCCAAGTGTAAATATACTCCGAGGGGTCCTTGTCGCATCCACCACAATCATTAGCACCCACCACGAAACAAGGTGAAGCGAGACTACAGCTTGATCACATTATTCAATCACATCACGCATACCGCAAGTCGCAATGGCTACCGATTTTCAGTCCTCGCTTTCTGCAAGCCTCAGCCGCCAGAGCATGGCGCCTGTTGGCCCCTCAGTAGCAGACACCCTGCCAAACATCAACTTTGGCTTCGACGACCTGCGCGACCGCATGGCCAAGTTCACTGCCAGGTTCGACGCCTTTATCGAACAGGGTCGAAAGCGAGTCTTGGAGGAGCGCAACCAGTTCCGCATGAATGTTGCTGAACTTCAGGGTACGAGAATTCGGTCCAGAGATTTCTTTCACCTGCTAACTGCCGCTTTCTAGAGGACCAACGCATGAAGAAGCGAGATATCGAAATCATTCAGGTCAAGACATCCACACACCAGCAAACCGTCGAGAAGGAGGAAGCCGAGACCCGCGAGATGGAGGCAGCGATCAATTCCCTCGCCGCCCAGCGCGACAACCATCTTGCGACCCGCGACAGCCTCAAGGCCGAGATTGCGCAGACCCAGGCAGAGATCGATGCCCGCCTCGCAGCGCAGCGGGCCCATGCGCAGCAGCAGCAGGCGCAGTCCCGCTTCAACGTGCCCGAGCTCGACTTTTGGATCACCAACCTGTGCCTCAAGATCGAGGGCGCAGGACACGACGACCGGCTCAAGTTTGTGTACACGCATATTGACGAGAAGGATTGGGAGAGGGAGGCTTGGTTTGAGCTGGTGACTAGCTCCCGGGACTATGATGTCAAGCACTGCCGGCCAAAGGTCGAGAGGGAGAAGGTGGAGAAGGTGCTCGACAGAGTTAATGAGTCGAGGGAGTTGGTGACTCTACTCAAGGGGATGAGGGAGTTGTTTGCGGAGGCGATGAAGTCCTAGATGTTGATGTTGTGATGTTGTGATGATGTGTTATGTGCTATGGATATAATTTTGCGTATACCAAGTTGTTCGTCTTTGGCTTTAAGAAACCTTGATTCACTGTTATCGAATCCAGAGAAATATTGACTGACTGTATGAATTATGAGCCCTGTTCAGTGGGTGTCAAGGGATTCACTGGGCCCCATTTGAAGACATAATAGCTCATTCACTGCCACTTTTTGTATGCAAACGGTACATAACGACCCTCAACCAACAAAATGTAATACTATGGAAGCTTTCTTTATCCCTCTGGCATCATAGTCGCCTCGTGGTTAGAGAAAGAGTTGACGTTGACGCCTTACAAACTCCCCAGAATCGCGTCGCGTCTCCCCCACATCGGCCATCACACCTCCACTTCCCATCCATCTCCCAACTCTCCATCTAAAACCACATCAAAACCGTCCAACATGCCTGAGCCAGACAAGCACGCTGCTGCGCAGCAAGCCGTGGATATCCTCCACGAGATCTCCACCATTCTCGTAAGCCTCCTGTTCAGCCTGGACGCGATGAGGCCTAACCATGCTGACCTATGCCCGACCCCAGAACTGCCATCTTGATCGTCGCACCTTGTCTATCTGCATCTCCATGATTGAGCGCGGTGTGAACCCGGAGGCTCTGGCGGTATGTTTAAATGTCCCCCCATTCTCATCGCAGTCAAACGAGTGTGCTGATAAACGTTTAGCAAGTCATCAAGGAGCTCCGACAAGAGGCCCAACAGGTTGAACAGCCAATGTCAGCGTCAACCCGAAGACGCTAGAATTGGGACAATGCATTTACGATGATTGGATTTGGAAACTGGGCCATGGGATTGTTTACTATTCGGACTGGGCGTTCAGCGGAGTAACCGCGTCTCACTTGATACACATGAATCAATACGATGGACAAGTATGACCTCTGTATCCAAAACAACCATGCCATTTGGGCCTGCTGCGTCCCATTGACTACACCGTAGAACTACTGACGACTATCAAACGCCTGTCGAGATGCAGTGTACCGTAATAATACAAAGTTGAGCAACCGTAGGCTGGTATCCCCTTGAAGCCAATGCGAACCATCCAAACGCCTTGCATAAAGAGTCCAATCCCAACCTCGTTTCAGTTTCGAACATGAGTTCGCTCAGAGACATGTTATCAAATATTCGTCCCTCATCTGTGCCCAATTAGAACAATTTCGTTAGCATCATCATCATCGTCGTCGTCTTCCTCATCTTCTGCATCAGACAACGCTTCATCACTGAGATCATCTAGCTCAGAGTCGTCATCGCTCGATTCATCGTTGTTGCGGTTTCGGCTCCTCCATAGACCGAGTATATCATCCTCGGATTCTTCGTCAGGAGGTAGATGAGCCCCAATGGAATCGAATCCCATGTTGACAGGAGATACAGATCGTGCTACCCTGTCCGGGGCACGAAACTGTGCCTCGACACCATGAGATGAGTGCCTACGCCTGTTTGATACTGCGATAGCGCCTCGGCTTCCACTAATAGAAGTGGAGGCATCTCGACCGCTTTCTCTTGGCTCTGTCGAAGCCTGTCCTTCTTCATTCATTGAGGGCTGTGCTGGCAAACGCTCGCCTCCTACAATATTCAGCTCCACCGTGTTGTATGATCGACAGATGGAGCATTTTAATCCCAGCCAGTGATATCGAACTGTGCTCTTGCCTGAGCAATCGTTGCATAGGATGACTGCGGTGGTGTCGCGGAACTCGGGAGGCATAGGCTGGCTCTGAATCGCCACATCCAGATTCCGGAACTGGCTCTCCATATTCGTGAGACTCTTGTTGCAGATTGGACACTTGTAAGACACTTTCATGTGCTGTTCATAACATTTCTTGTGGATGCTGTGGCCGCAGTGCATAAACACAACGGGCCGGGGAGAGGTGAAGAGATACTCGCCACAGATGGGACAGTCGCAGTCTGTCGACCTCTCGATACACTTGTGCGAGCTCTCGATCGATGTAGAGATGCATGCACGACAGGTCTGTGCCGTTAGCAGGTGACCGTCTTATGGGACACATCCGTCTTACCTTGCAGTGAAAGAAGTCCTTGCCCAGACCCATGCCGCGTCGACAGATGCCACAGTCGCTGCAATGGTAGATGGGCTTGCTTTGGCGGTTCTCCCATAGCTTGCAGATATTGCAGTAATAGTGAGCGGATATCTCACCGCAGTTGATGCACATGTCTGAAGCCTTCTGAGGGGTTGTGCAGATCATGCAGAGCATATTTCTGGTCTCGGAACGGATGAGATTGTGGTCTTCGTTCGCATCATGGCAGAAGCGACAAGTGTACCACTTCTTGCATGTGAAGCACTGCATCTTGACGTTCCGCTCATAGTGCTGACATCCAAGGGGCTGTTCCGTCTCTGGTACCACCTCGAGTGGTTCCACAGGTGTTTCACTGCCGTGACGCTTTGGAGGCTTCACAGGCACAAACGATGGTTTCTTGTCCTCCTCAGTCAAGACGAAAGATTCTTCAGCCTGGTGCTGCCAAAACTTTAATGGTCGAGATGCTGGCGACGAGGGAGACTGTGCGAGAGCATGTTCTAGACCGTCGCCACTCTCGAAGGGCTTCTTCGCATGCAAGACGTTTCTGGAGGCATTGTAACCTTCTAGCAGAGCATCGTGGATCTGCCGCGCCTTGTCAGGCGGGGAGATATCCTTGGCGTTGATCGCATGTATCCTGGACCGCAGCTCGCGCATGCCATCGTCTTCTGGAATCCGGCGAGAGCTGAGCGGACTCAGCGCAATGCCAATGTGATCGCGAGGGGGAGATCCTTCAGCCATGATCGGAACCGGTTCGATCTCTTCGACTCTGGTCTCTAGGGTCGAGACGCTGAGGGGTCGTGTGAGGGGAGAGTCTGGGGCGGGCCTGGACTCCGGTTCAGGAGCAGCAGATGTCGTAGTATCGGTAGGAACAGGGCTATCGACGTGGCCAGAGTCGCTCACTGCATCGGTGTGGTCTGCCGAATCGCCTCCATCTCCAGCAAAGGTAGATCGCGAGATTTCAGAGAATCGACGTGCCTGGCGCAGGACGGGGTTAATGAGGAACTCGGAGACGAGGGAGGACATTTGGGCCTAGTCGGAGGCGGGCGACTTAAACAGCGGGCGATCCAAGGAAAGGGTATGGCGCGAGGTCGGGATGTCGAATAGGCGTGCGCCGCGGCCTTGGAAAGGAGGGGGGAGAGGAGGGAATGACGATGGAGAAAGGGGATCTAACAGGCCAAAGAAAGGTAATAACAGAGTCACAGGCGAGTAAAAAAGACTTGGGATGGACGCCTCAAAACAGCGGAATGACGAGAGACAGGGAGCCCGGCGAGGTATAGTACGGCACAGGACTACGGCCTCCAAGCCGGGAGGCGGATGCAGTGAGTAAGTGGATGACATAAGGCAATGGAAGCGGCTGCTCGCGAGTGACATGCACCATGTATGGACCATGCGGACGGCGGTGGAGGTTTCCGGCGGCGGAGCTGCCCCGTTTCCAGCATATGACTGCACTGACTGCAGTTCAGTCCCATCCAACAAACCGCTTTTGACAGAGATTGTTCCATCCGAGAGTTGACCGAGAGGATCCCGTTCCCCACAGGCGAACCATTGTCAGCCCTCAGCTGGCCATTTTTTGACTAGCCCTGCTGCCGTATGCTGCTTACGGCCCCCGTTCAACCCGGCATTGGGGATGCTGCTGCTTGTTTGTTGACTCCGATAGCGGGTACTGGACGGGTTGAACCGTGTCTTGGGTCAGACCAGGGTCCGGATATACAGCTCAACAACACAAGAATAGTCACTGTCAAGGTGGATTATAGTGTGATTAATAATGCGTAAACGTGTTCGGATATCCAAGTTACATAAAGTTACCGGCGTAGGAATTACTGATCCACGGTCACACCGTTGGTCATGGGGCTTCCTCTTCAATGGAACCGGATATACAGGTACGTCTGGTCTTGCACCGGCAGAACAAATAATTGTCTTACCCACGATGATCTATCTGGGCTTAGTCTTTCCGTGTATAGCTTAATTGTGTTAAAAAAGATCTCGATCTGACCTGTCTCAGCCAAGGTCAAGCTGGGTATTTGAGGTCATGACCAAGGCTGTTCGAGGATGATGGGTGCAGCCGACGATGAAGGTAAGCTATGCAAAATCCTTGTATCGCTTTCGACTTGTCTGCATTTAAATATCTGCATGTGAATAAGACGTCATTGTGTCTGGTATGTCTCAGAACATTGCATCCGAAGTTGGCGTTTTGGCTCTGGGGAAGGAAAGCGTATCTCGGCCGAGTCGGAGCAGACGACAGCAGTTAAACAAGCTCTTGATGAGCAGAAGATGAAACTACCTAGTTCGGAGTCTAGTACAGCTAAATCATCTTCCAAAGTCAAATTCTTCTAGGGCAGATACTATTAGTTCGCCTGGCTACTCGAGGCCAAAAGTTCGAAATAGTGAATGTCTTCACGGAAGTATTCCTCGAATGAGAGTGAGGAGAGCACAGGCCTCCGATCTAACCGGTCGATCAGGCACAGAACCCTAAATACAGCATGAATGCAGTAGAGACTGAATTGTAGGAAGAAAGAATGAACCAAACTGAAAGCAAAAAGCAACCATCGTTGAAACAATATCAAAGAAGCCAAAAAGAATGATCACGCTGGGGATCGAACCCAGAATCTTCTGATTCGTAGTCAGACGCCTTGCCATTGGGCCACGCGACCTTGATGATTGGATGCTAACTCTGTCGTCGCGACGCGTACTTCTTCCCTCGACGAGTCCATTCCAACCAACCGTCCACCCACACACCCGCAGACGATCCCTGCCGCCGATTTTCCCCTAAAACATCTCCACTGCGACGCCGCTATCGACAGGAACCTGGAGGGCTGAGGCGGCTGAAGTGGGGTGCTCGACTGTTCCGGAGCTGGCGCCACGGGGGAAGTGCTCTGCTAGCGTGACAGGCCTGGTAGAGCATAGGTGGCATTTCAGGGGACGTCGCATATTCTTAGAACACCTGAATTCTTTCTCGACTTACGACCTTGCTCCGGTCTTGGGACTTGACTTTCTTCTTCAACCCTTTCTTCTCTTCTTTAGCCTGGTCATTTTTAACAGGCCTTTGCCATTCAGGTCCCTCGGTTGTGGATTCCTCCATTGACGACGACCCGTTGTTTCGTCGTTGAAGCTGGTGTCCTCCCTTTGAGTCTTGACAGCTCGTCCGGTCTTTTTCTCTCCCTCAGAGCTCGGCTGCTTCGTATTTTCAGCCCAGCCAGCTTACCCCCTTTCTCTTCGCCCATCCGCTCTTCCTCCTCAGAAACCATCGAGACCTTGACTACGAACCGACATTCGCACGATTGAATAAATCATGGCTGCCGATAAGGCTGCCGTCGCCTCGGGCGCTGACCTGGGCGATGGTCTGAGGCAGCGTAACGTCGCTGCGTCGCAACCTGGCCTCAAGCCCCCGACTCCTCAGCCCGAGGATAACAAGAAGCTCGCCAAGAAGGTCAGCCATCAAGCACGAGATGCCTCCAGCTTGACCTGTACTGACTGCTTCCGTAGGAGACCTCTTTCCTCCAGGTTCTCGACGAGTGGGAGTTCATCATTGCCCCGCTGATCTTCACGGCCGTTGCTATCTTTACTCGACTATACAAGATTGGTATCAGCAACAT